GATGGATCTTGGCAGAAAGCACAGAGTACCAGAGGACTGTCTTATCAGTGTTTCATTGACTGTCCAAAGGCATTTGACTGTGTGGATCACAACAAATTGTTAACTCTGAGAAGAATGGGAATTCCAGAGCACTTGACTGTACTTATGAGAATATTTGAACCAGAAGGCAGTCATTAGCACAGAGCACGGAAACACTGCATAGTTCAAAATTGGGAAGGGTGTATGTCAAAGTTGGGATAGAGATGTGTCCTATCTCCTTAACTTTTCAATCTATATGCAGAATAGATCATCTGGAAGGCTGGGCTCTATGAGGAGGAATGTGGCATCAGGATTGGAAAAAGACTTATCAACAGCCTGCCATTTATGCTGATGACACAACTGTACTTGCTGACACTGAAAATGACATGAAGTGTTTGCTGCAAAAGATCAAGGACTGCAGCCTTAAATATTAATTGAAACTCAACATCAAGAAAACAAAGATTCTCACCATTGGACCGATTGGAGCATGAAGAGTTTGAGATTGTTAACAGCTTCAGTTTGCTTGGCTCTACAATCAACACTCTTGGTACCAGCAGCCAGGAAATCAAGGGACGAATTGCATTGGGAAAGTCTGCTGTCAAGAACCTCTCCAGAGTACTGAAGAGGAATGACGTCATTCTGGAGACTAAGGTGTGCCTGATCTAGGCATAGTCTTCACAATTACTTGCTATGCGTCAGAAAGCTAGACAGAGACTGGAGATGAGAGAAGGAGAACTGATGCCTTTGAGCTGTGTTGCTGGAGAAGAATATCAACTATATCATGGACTGCTAAGAGATCAAACTGGTTCGTGCGAGAGAGGGTAAAACCAGGCTACTCCTTGGAGACAACAAAGATTCTGAAGCTTCATCTCTTCCTCCCCAGACCCCTCAATGTTGGATTGGTGAGCTTGAGCTTTCAGAGAACAAGCTAGCCCTAGACTTTTCCAGGTCGTTATTTCTTTGCCTCCAATTCTTACGCATCAAGGATGGAGCTTCATCGCACATACTTTGGCCTTGTTGCAAGGAGGGATGTACTTGAAGAGGGATGTCATGCTTGGGAGGGTGAAGGGACAACAGGAGAGGAAGACCCTCTATGAGATGGACTGTTTCAGTTACTGGGTAATGGGGGTAGGTGTGTCAGAAGCATTACATTAAGGTTGGCACAGGATAGATCAGAGTTCAGAGCTGTTGTCTGTAGGGTCGCTGTGAGTCACAAGCAGCTCAGTGACACCTAATAACCATAACAACAACAAATAATTAATACATGTATTAGAGGTTTGGACTGAGAATGAGATAATTTACTCTTTGGTGGGAATTGGTAGCAAAACCTAAGAAAGTTTGCAGAGAGGATGCTCTTTAATAAATTTTCTAGAATCAGTGAAGTTTTAAGTTCTCTGTTTGCCTGCCATTTACTTAGAGCAGTAACTTTGGAATTGAACTGCAAAAGAGCTCTTTTCTTTATTTGCTGTGTAACTTATACCAGCTACCATTTTTGGTTTATTTATTATTAAAACACAAATAGTAATATATTAAATATTTTCATTCTAATAATAAATGCTTATGAACTTTTTTTATGTTCATTTAACAAAACAACTTTGAGATTTTCACTAAAGTAATCTAATGTTGCTGAAAATTTTACCTAATCAAGTAGAAACAGATAAGAATATAGTTATATACAAAAAACAAAATTGTGTACATAGTGTATAAGTGTATAAACTTCTGTTCTAATATATTTTTTTATTCCTGTGTTTTACTCAGATACTTGAATTTACCTTGTAAAGAGTAATTGGTTCCTTTAAGTGTTTATGATTCATATTCATGAGCTATTACCGAATAGCATACTTCTGAAGGAACTAAGAGGGCTCACATTTTGGCAACCATGCATCATTTGCATCTTTTTTTTAGAACAAACTAATATTTGCAACCAATTTTATTTAATACCATCAAGGAGCTCAGCTTCTCCTTGGGAGAAAGATGGACAGGCTCCTCCGGTGTGATTTACAGCCTCTGAAATCCCCCTGGAGGGACATCTATATGTCAATTCTGACCTCGTGGCAATGAATTGAAAGTTGAATTAATGCTATTAAAATCCAAATATTTCATTACCTTAGACAGTTAACCAAAGTTTTGAGTTTAATTAAGAAAACTGTAATGGCTTTTTTTTTTTAAAGTAAATGATAAGTCTCCTGAAGAGTAGTGAGTTGCACAGCTAACCCAGAGGATCTCTGGGGGAAAGATGGGTAGTCTCGTTTTGTTGCCATTTATAGCTTCAGAAACCCAAGCTATGAATCAGAACCAACTCAGCAGAGAGTTTATTATATATAGTATACAACTTGAAATTTGTAAGATGAATTATGCTACAGAATTCTTTTTTGTCATGGCAGATTGAATTTACTATTACATGAAAAATGATTATATACAATGCATTTCTTGTGAAGAGTAAATTGTTTTTGGGAAATTGTACAAAATGTAAGATACAATGGAGACTAAATAATTGTAAGCAGTTAAGTGATTTTACAGGGTTATGGTTTTGTGTGTCTGGATTTTCTTTTTCTGATTTGTATTTTCTGATGTGCCTTTACTCCAATAACAACATTGTTGTTGTTGTTGTTATGTGCAGTCGAGTCATTTGCGACTCATAGCGACCCTATGTACAACAGCCCTAAACCATGCTCTATCCCATGCCGATCTCATTGCCTCTGACACAACGATCCCGATTACCCCAGTCACTGAATCAGTCCACCTCATAGAGGGTCTTTCTCCTGCGCCGTCCCTCCACTCTATCCAGCATGATGTCCCTCTCCAAAGACCTGTCTCTCCTTACAACATGTCCAAAGTATGTCAGACGAAGCCCCAGAATCCTTGCCTCCAAGGAGCAGCCTGGTTTAACCCTCTCTAGGATGAATCGGTTTGTTTTCCTGGCAGTCCATGGTATATTCAATGCTCTTCTCCAGCACCACAGCTCAAAGGCATCAATTCTCCTTCTATCCTCCCTAGTCATTGTCCAACTCTCTGATGCATAACAAGTGATTGCAAAAACCATGGCCTGTATCAGGCGCACCTTAGTCTCCAGAGAGACACCATTGCTCTTGAGTATTTTAGAGAGGTCCCTAACTGCAGACTTTCCCATCGCAATACGTTTTTTTATTTCCTGGCTACTGGTGCCAAGAGTGTTGACCGTGGAGCCTAGCAAACTGAAGCTGTGAACACTCTCAATCTCTTCGCCATCCATCCTGATGCTACCGATTGGTCCAGTGGTGAGAATTTTTGTCTTCTTGACATTGAGCCTCAGTCCATACTGAAGGCTGCAGTCCTTGACCCTCTGCAGTAAGTGCATGAGGTCCTCCTCAGTTTCAGCGAGCAGGGTTGTGTCATCTGCATAACGCAGATTGTTGATAGGTCGTCCACCAATCCTAACGCCACACTTCGCCTTATAGAGCCCAGCCTCTTGGATAATCTGCTCTGCATACAGGTTGAAAAGGTATGGAGATAGGACACATCCCTGGCGTACACCCTTCCCAATTTTGAACCATGTAGTGTTCCCTTGCTCTGTTCTGACGACTGCCTCCTGGCCCAAGGATAAGTTTCGCATTAGAACGATCAAGTGTTCTGGGATTCCCATTCTTCTCAGAGTCAGCCACAGTTTGTTATGATCCACACAGTCAAATGCCTTTGCATAATCAATGAAACACAGATAGACATTCTTCTGGTATTCTGTGCTTTCAGCTAAGATCCATCTAACATCAGCTACAATATCCCTAGTACCATGATCCCTTCTAAGCCCAGCCTGGACTTCTGGCAGTTCTCTGCTGATGTACTGTTCCAGTCGTTTTTGGATAATCTTCAGTAGAATCTTGCTTGCATGTGAAATCAATGATATTGTTCTGTAGTTTCCACACTCAGTTGGGTCGCCCTTCTTTGTAATGGGAACAAATATAGACCTCTTCCAGTCAGTTGGCCAAGTGGTTGTTCTCCAGATTTCTTGGCACAACTTGGTGAGCACATCCAGGGCAGCATCTGTTAGCTGAAATATGTCAATTGGTATACCATCTATTCCGGGGGCCTTATTTTTTGCTATTTCCTTCAAAGCAGCTTGAACTTCTGCCTTCATCACCATAGGCTCTGGCTCAAATGCTATTTCATTAAATTCTACTATGTGTGCTAATTCCTTTCGGTACAATGACTCAGTATATCCCTTCCATCTTCTTTTGATACCTTCTGGATCATTTAACATTCTGCCTACCTAAAGCATCCTTGATTGTAGCAACTCGAGGTTTGAATTTGCTCTTCAGTTCCTTGAGCTTAAGAAATGCTGAACGAGTTCGGCCCTTTTGATTTTTCGACTCTAGCTCCTCGCACATTTCATTGTAGTATTTTGCTTTGTTATTCCGTGCTGCCTTTTGCAATCTTCTGTTCAGCTCTTTAGTGTATTGGATTCTTCCTTGTGCTTTGGCTTCTCTACGTTCCAGTGCAATCTTCAGAGTTTATTTCCATTTAGATTTTCTTCTAGATTTATAGTGTTGTTTGCCATTGAGCTGTGCATGATGACCCTATGAATAACAGATTAGAACCTAACATTGTCTTGCAATTGTGTGTCTGGAATTTAGTGAAGAAAAGAATACACAGGCTATGAGTCACAGGTGACTTGATGGCACAGAAAAACAAAATCTTGTAACATTAAATTACTAAATTCAGTAATATTTATTGTTGTGTATACAATAGCATGTCACTGGACTAAGGTTAAATGGAATCATTAGAAATGTTTTGCTGGTCTTAAGACTTTAGTAGTACTAATTTGTATTTAGCAGTACTACTTTGGAACAAATTATTATTAGACTATCATCTGTGTTACTAATGCTGCTATTTAGCACTTTCACTTTACAAAGTCTCAGTTACTTCAAGCTTTACTAAGATATGTGTATTTTTAAAGCCATTTAAAGTATTTACCTATTATTTATGTCTCAATTTTCCTCCCCTCACAGGAGTACCAAAATCTAATCTCTTACACACCAGATCTCTAAGGGGCCATAAAGACTGCTTTGAAAAATACCATTTAATTGCAAATCAAGATTGTCCTCGATCTAAGCTTTCAAAAAGTACTTATGAAGAAGTTAAGACAATTTTGAGTAAAAAGATAAACTGGATTGTACAGTATGCACAAAATAAGGATTTGGATGCAGATTCTGAGTGTTCTAAAAATTCCCAGCATCACCTGTTTAATTTCAGGCATAAATCAGATAAAAAGTTACTTCCACAGTTTGACTCCCAAGTTCCAAAATATTCTGCAAAATGGATAGATGGAACTACAGGTGCTCTCTCAAGCTGTACACAAAGAATTTTGGAGCAGAGGGAAAGTGCAGACTTTGGGCTTGCTATATTACAAAATTCAGGGACCAGTTTATGCCATAATCGTGTATTGTGGCCTCACAATCATAGCCAGCCACAGGAAAAAGAAGAGACAATCTCTGTTCCAGAGGCTCATGTGCAGACCCAGCATCCACAGTACAGCAAAGAGGAATGTAAGTAAAGTGAAAAGATAAAAGTTCAAGTGCTTGGTTTAACATCATCATACATTAATTTTAAAATAGAATCTTAAATTTATTTGATAATTGCAGTATTTAAAGTGACACGTTCACCCTAGCAAATATCACATGTCTTTTTATGCACTATCAAATTAGAACCGACCCATAGCTGACCCTGCAGTGAGTTTTCAGAAGCAGTAATTACACGAGAGGCAATTTCCCATCCTTCTCCCACAGACTAACTGGTGGATTTGAGTCATGTGCCTTCAGGATTACAGCACAGCTTCTTAACCAACTAGGCCACCAAATCTGTAGTCTCCAAATGGTTAAATTGCTCTATCAGCTAACTGTGAATTGGAAAATTCTGGATTTATAGTTTAGAAGTATAATTTCAAGCTTTGGAATGGCTTTTTTGTTAAAAAAATGGCATTCTAAAAGCAAAAATCTGACTTTTTAAAAAAGCTATAGGTAATGTGTGCATTTAAAGTTGAAATAAGTGATTCTGTTTCTGCAAAAGCTCAACAGAAACCTAGGTGATTTAATTGAAATTGGGTTATTCAAGAGCTAGAAGATGGGAACTCTCATGTCTCAGTGGTAATGAATTGTAGTGCCAACCCAGAGGCATTTCGTTTGAACCCACTAGCCTGCTCTGCAGGAGAACAATGGGTCGTCTCCTCCCAAAACTGTTTGAAAACCCACTGGACGGTCAGCTATGACTCAGTTCCAACTCAGGAGTACATGGCATAACAACTGTTACAGCTTCAGGTGACCATGAGTAGGTTTTACATAATTTCTGCTTATAAATTAAATATCTAATTTGAGAATTATCTTTTTAAGCTATTTCCACTATAGTGTTTAAGTTCTAGATCCAGGACTTGTTGATCAGCTACTAGTCATTTTTAAAAATGGAAACAATATGAAATACTAGAACACACTACCTAATACTAAGTCTTTTTCAGTGAAACTTTTAAGTTGAAAGGTAGTTATTATTGCAGTGATGTAAAAATGTTTCATTCTGTGGATTGTTGTAAAAATTTGAAAAGTACGCTAAACTGCAAAAATTAAGTCATGAGGTACTGGTGAATATTAAACAGATAAGACTTTTTAAAAACAGACTATTATCGTTTGTAGTAATATTGACAGCTTATTTTCCCAAGTTGTGAACATAATAAATGTATTTTTTTTTTTATGTTTCAGTGAATTCAATGACTCTTGGCGAGGTGCGACTACTGAATACAAAGCTCCGACAACAAATCCAGGGTAAACAGTCAGTGTTGTTTATAGATGAAAACTTTTCTAATAGAAATTCTGCGAGATTTTTAATAGGAGAAGGTACCAATTGGCAGCACCATGATAGATGAAAAAGAGATTGAGGTTGTTGATAGTTACAGCTTGCTAAGCCCCACCACCAACACTCTTTGAACCAGGAGTCAGAAAATGAAAAGACAGATTGCATTGGGGAAAAATCAGCTGTCAGAGACCTCTCCAGAGTGCCGAAAAGCAACAGTGTCAGTCTAGACACTAAGGTGTGTTTAATCCAGGGCATGGTCCTCACAGTTACTTGCTATGCATCATAGAGCTGGAAAGTGACTAAGGATGACAGAATAAGAATTTATTCTTTTGTGTTTTGGTGCTGGAGAAGAGTCTTGAACGTGCCGTGGACCACCAAGAAAACAAATAGGTCTGTCTTGGAGAAGGTGAAACCAAGTTTCTCCTTGGAGGCTAGGATTTTCAATCTCTGTCTCACCTACTTTTGGCACATGGCCAGAAGAGACTGGTCCTTGGAGAAGGACATAGTGCTTGGAAGGGTGGAGGGACAGCTCAGGAGAGGAGGACCCCGGAAGAGATAGAACTGGGGCAAGAGGGTGGTTATGTCCAAATTAGACTGGCTCAGGACAAGGCAGGGTTCAGAGCTGCTGTACATAGGGTTGTTATGGCTCAAGGGCACTTAACACGTTCCTGCAAACGACGGCTATTGGGGGGGATGTGTTTCTAAGCATGGCTGTCAGTTTAAAAGTGTGTGGCAACATGTTAACAACACTAGCTTTATCTGCATTTAAATGCAGAAAAGAAGTTCAAACTTGGCGTCATTTCCAGAGCAAAAAGACTAAGAATAAATAAATTCATTTTGAACTGTAAAATAAATCTATTTTTCTTTTTACTACTTTATTAACTTGTATTAATATTTGCTATATGAAACAGGTCAGCTCCCTGATGTTTTTTAAAGACAGGTAGATTAACCTTTTTGCCTTTAAATGAGGAGTAATTGCAAATAAATGAAAGAGTAGTAGTAAGAGTATGTTGTTTGTTGTTGTGTGCTGTCAAGTTGGAACCGACTCATACCTAACCTTCTAGTGGGTTTTCAGGGGTAGTTAAACTGCACAGGAGGAGACTGCACATCTTTCTCTTGCAAAGAAGCTTGTAGATTGGAACTATGCACCTTTGGGATTGCAGCGCAGTTTCTTACATGATGTTAGCACAACAGTTATTTTAAAAAAGCAGTGCAGCTCACTGGACTATGCCACCAGTGCCATTATCATTCCTGATATCCTCAAGGCCATTGTTTCAATTATAGTGTCAGTCCATATTGTTGGGAGTTTTCCTCCACTTTGAGCTTTTCCAAGGACTGCCCCCCTCCTGAAAACATGCCCAAAGTTTGTGAGATGAAGTTTCACTATCCTTGTCTATAAGAAGTCACCTTAGTTGCCCTCCTTCCGGAACAGATTTATATTTGTTCTTCTGTCAGTCCATGAAATATAGCACTCTTCTCCAAAACCACAATTCAGAGGCCTTGGTTATTCTGTCATTCATATTCGTTGTCCAGCTTTCACATGCATAGGAAATTACTGAAAAGACCTTGGCTTGGTCTTCTGCAATATGTTTCCATGTAATAGGAGACGCTGCACATTAGAGGTATTAAAGTTGCTTGAAAAGATGATGCATTCAGTCACAGATAAAAGTTTCTAACTACTGTGGCAATCCTGTGTGTATCCATAATGGAACTGTTCTCCATAGAGTTTTTCAATATCTGACTTTTCAGAAGTAGTAACTGTATCACCAGCCCTTTCTTAAAGACACTTTTGGATGAAAGTTAGCTTCCAATATTTTGATTAGCAACTAAGCATATAAGTAATTTGTACTACCTAGGGACTTTTTTATACTGTTTCTTTCAAGTCCAGAATTAGTGGTCTTTGCTAACAACACAGCCAGCCTCTTCAACTAATAATAGCAATTTAGATTTGTCAAATAATTATACCGTTTCATACCATTTGACCCAGCAATTCCACTATTGGGAATATATCCCAAAGAGACCATAACTGACATCCAAGCAGATATATGCACGCCCATGTTTATCGCAGCTCTGTTCACAATAGCAAGGAGTTGGAAACAACCCAGGTGCCCATCAACAAACGAATGGGTAGAGAAGCTGTGGTATATTCACACAATGGAATACTATGCTGCATTGAAAAACAAGGAACTCATTCAATATTATTCAAAATGGGTGAGCCTGGAGGACATTATGCTGAGTGAAATATCTCAGTCGCAAAAGGACAAATATTGCATGGTGCCACTGCTGTAAAATGGGACTGATATCAAGGTGGGGGTAAGACTGAGAAAAACTGGATAAATTGTGTATACTGCACTGAAAAAAAAAGTAGGAGCAAATATTAAAAGTATCCAAGTAACTCTGATTCTAATGCCTTTTAAAAGAATTTTCAGACCTGGGTACTAATGGGCATTTTTTGGCCCTAAGTTATATTAGATATTGATTGAATGTATTTATGGATTCTAAGAGAAGTGGTTCTTGTGTCACAGCCTGTCTTTGCTTTGTATCTCTGTAGTCATTGCCATAACACTTAAATTTCACTTTCTAAAGAGAAGGAATTTGGTATCCCATTTGGCTTCTGGTTGTGTGTCATCAAAACAGTTCTGACTGAGAGTGACCCCATGTCTCAGAGTAAAACTGCCTCAAAGGGCTGAAGCAGATTGCCATATCTTTTACTTTTAGAGCCATTGAGTGAGTTTGAACTATTAGTCTTTTGGTTAACAGCTAAACACTTAAGTTTTGTCACCAGGACTCCTTCCCTGCTTGCTAGGTTATATAAATACAGACTTTTTCAGATAATTCAAACTTCAAGACTCTGCAAAACAACTCTTTGTCAAGCCATTTTTATTAAGAAAATTTCCCTAAGACATTAACTTTAGTTAAAGTTCTTAAATCATTAGCTTTTTGTATATTGAAAATGAAAATATTTTTTAATCTTCACAGAAGTTTTTGAAGAATTAACACTTCAAGTTCAAGAAAAAGATTCTTTGGCCTCAGAGCTCCATGTCCGCCACGTTGCCATTGAACAGCTTCTCAAGAACTATTCTAAGTTACCATGTCTGCAAGTGGGGCGAACAGGAATGAAGCCACACCTGTCCATAAACAACTGAACTAACATTAAACTTATTTCTTAGGTTTGTTGATTGGCCAAGCATGCACTGTTTGAAGAAAGTTAGAGTTCGGTTTTTTATAGCCATTAAATTTGAGGATATTTAACATCTTTGTCAAATAATGCAGATCATTATGCTTTAGACTTACTAAGGTTAATAATTTAGGGGATATTTTTTCCAATAATTACTAATTCCCCATCTCCAAGTCTTACCACATATGACTACTTAAATAGCTTTTACAGTATTATTTTATGAAACATTTTAATATAATTCATCTGTCAAAACAGTAGAAATTCAACTCCTAAGTCTAAACTACTAAAGATAATTTTTAGGAGGGAAATAGAATTCATAACTCACCTCTTATTTATTACAAGCAATATTTTAATATAAAATTTTATATATAAATACTATTTTAGGTACCTTTCCATTCTGTTTATAAATGTATATTTGAATGGCTCTATATATGATATTTACACATTCATGTGTAAATATATTCACCCATATTTCAGATCACTGCATCTAATTCTCTTAATACAATGTTTTTACTGTTAATCGGTTTTCCAAAGAAAAAAAATATGTATTTTGAAGTAGGAATCTATTTGAATTGTTTTAAACTCCAGTAACAAAAGAAAAATTAGTAACTTTTTAAAGCAAGTAAGTAAATAAAATATTTTTTCCTAACAAAGTATTCTGAGTTCAGGAATAAAATCCTAATCTGGGTTTTGTATGTGCGAACCTCAGCAAGATGGACCAACAGAGTGGCTCTAACAGTGTGCTCAAGTTTATCAGAGATGATGAGGATGGCACAGGATAAGTCAAGGTTCAGATTCCTTGTTCATAGTAACGCTGGGAGTCTTAGTTAACTCAATGGTAAATAACAGCAGCAGTATCCCATAAAGAAAAGAAAACCTCCTCTACTTTATTATCTTCATTATTGTATTTGTTCTAATTGCTTTGATGTGTTAAAATTTGGGCAGATTCCATTACCCCTCACTTTTAGCACACATGTAGTATCCAGCTCTCAGATTGAATGTGTTGTAAAATAATTGTCTTTGAAAATCATTAAATCTACTAAACATGTCACTTTAGATAAAGACTAAAAAATTCCTTAAACTGTCCAAATTCTTTATTAACATCATTGAAATGAGCATTGTGTGAGTTATTATCTAGAACTTCTAATTCAGGCAAAACAAAACAAAAGCCCATTTTTAAAAGAAAATTACTTACCATGTTTCCAGAAATTTCTTAACTAATCTATTGTCTCACCCAACTAGATAATTCTTCAGTAGTATATTATTTTAACTACTGTTGTGATCAATACAGAGTTAAATTTGGCTCTGAATAATATTTAAAATTGTGCTTAGAATATATTTATGAAAGAGATCTTTTGCTTGAAAGAATCTACAGAAAAGCCCATTGGCCTAGCAGTTTTATGCTTTAGATAAACGACTTATTCCATCCTTATATTTGACAGTCTGCTCTGGCTTGGATCAGATTATAACTTGAATACAAACAATATTTGATTGAGTAGGGGGGAAAAACAACTCAAGTAGAAACAACTGTAGGAGAAATAGCTAGTAAAAGCATCTTTAGTGGAAAACAACTTTGTAATGTTAAAATGTGTTAAATCTGCCTGCTCTTTGATATTCTATCTTTAATATTTTGGAGTTTTTTCTGTGGGTGGTGGTGGTGGGTTTTTGTAGTGTTTTTTTGTTTTGTTTTTTCTTAAGTATGATGTAACTAGTATTTGGAAGGAGTTTTGAAAGATGCTTTCAAATTTTCTCAATTGTTTAGGCCATAAATGAATTTAAAATCCAGGGAATAAAAATTGATAAGCTTTACATTTAATATGTGCAATATCAGATTTTCTATAAATTTATAAGTTACAAAAAAGATGGTTCTTGATTATGCCAGTAAGTGTCTGTTTTATTACGTACATGGTTCTTATGGTCACATTTTCAAATTTGACCTTATTGGTGTAATACTTTAAAAGTGTTACCAGCCAGTGTATTCACACACATTTAGATTTCTGTGTAGGTGACTTACGGAGTCATTAAAAAGTTTGGAATATGTTGGTATTTGATAGCAATAGCCCGAGTTTTCCAGAATTTGAGCCATTTAGTATAGTTTGAGTACAACAGTGTTACCCAAAGAACGTGTTTGCTTATCTCATAAAGAGTTTCTGGCGACTATGTAGCTTTACTAATGAGTTTAGAATGACAGGATGGGATTACATTTGTAGCTCATGATGTGTTCCGTTGAGATATTTTTACTAAGATCTTCAAAGGAAAGGTGCTCTTTAAATATATCTGCGGTGCTGGTACTTACACTAGTACTTCATTTAGGTGAAATTTTTTTTTTTAATGTTTTGAACAGCAGTTTTATCCATTTATTTGGTAAACACATGTATATGTCAATTCATTTTCTTGATTAAATATGCAATTGTTGTATATGCAACTATAAGGACAAGGGTTAAAATTGAAATTTTAACTTGAAATAATTTATATAATACCACAAATAATGGTTTTGGTAGGTGTGGCCATTGTTTATCAAGGAAATTTAAAAGAAAATCTCAGCCTATAGTTTTAATATCAGAAATGTCAAAAGGCAGAGTGCCAATCAGCTAATACTAATGTAATTTTTCCAAATTGGATTTCATAACTGGACAAGTTGAATTGAACCTTAAAAAGGGAAAAATTATTTGGACTACACATGTTTGTTTTTGTAAAACTTGATATTTTAAAGCCCCTTCAGTCTTATAATTATAAAAAACCTAATTAAAATTTTGATATTATCATCCTTAAATTATAATATTTAGTACCTAAATTTAGTCTAAAAACAAAAAGGTGTAGGTGTGCTTAAGACCTTGTAAAACCAGTATTCAGGAAGCGGAGTAGTGTCTTGTTCTATTTTGTAGTTTTTCTTGTATATGATAGTGGAACAAAGAAATGCTGTTAGTTTTCAGAATTATATTTTCATTTCACCACAAAGTGCCCATTTTTATATACATTCAGTGATTATTTTTAAATACCAAATTTATGTTGGAAAGTAAGTTCAGAGATATACAGTTTAAATATATTCTATTTTATTGTTAGCATCTTGATGTATATTGTGTTTTCCTGGCTTTTTCATTTCAGTATATGCTTTGTCTTTGAAAATGGTTTAAAGTGTTTTTATTTATGTATACTTTGGTGTTGTAATTTTTTTTTTTGCTTAATTTTTTAATTTGGGAGCATCTATTTCTTTATATTTACTAGTTTAGGATTTGTTTTGGAAGAAATAATGCTTTGAACAGCATAAGGTATAATACAAATGTCTGTATGCTAAGCTTAAGTAGAATATATTATGTGTTTGAGTTTTATTGGGAGGTTCATTTAACCATAAATTAGGTTATGTGTACATGAAAACTGTTAAGTTCTACAATGTAATGTTCTTATGGTGGGGTTTTGGTTTTTTTCTGACTTAGCCAGGTTGTCTGTTGATAGAAGTTATCAGGTTATGGTAAAGTAGGATATTTAAGTATTTTAAGTACTTATAAAGAAGTTTAGTACTCAGATGTTTTTTTTAAAAATAAAAGGGTTTGTTCAGATGTGGCTATAAAGCAAAGGTGATTGTCTTTGTGCTTTAGTGCTTAATTACTTTTTAAAACTTAGAGTTGATGGGAATTGTTATTTGAGGGAATTTGTGACGAAAATCATGGAAAAGATAACTTTAACAGATTAATTTTGTTATATTAAATTTTATAGGAGTGAGCTTGAGGTGTAGAGAGAAGATTTTTTAACCAGAGTAAGAAAGTAATAGATCTCTGGAATAACAGTGGCACCTTGCAATGCACAATGCAAAGATACTTTAGAGGAAGGCTATAATGCTGTCTTCTATTTCAGTGTTTTCATTGCACTTCATTCTTTCTCAGTTGCTCCTGTGAAAATGCAGTCTCTTCTATCACCTTGCAACTATGCTTACCTTGTTATGAACCATATCATACCAAGTCTTAAGCATTAGTAATTTTTTTACTGTCTTAATTTGTAAGAATAATGTTCTTATTTTGAGCTCTAACAATTAATGCATTTTCATGATAATGAATTGCCCTACAAGTTTACCAAAGTAAAACAAATCATAAAGGTGAATTGTCTCTTAACCACTATGCCCCACCTCAAAAACAAAAGTTTAATTTTGTCCATAAAGGCAGTGTAAATGTATATTCCCCCACCCCTTCATGTCTGCAATGCTTATTTCTATCCCATTATTATAAAACGGGGTTATTTAGAAAGTGTCCATAGTGCTTTTATCAAATGTCACTCTATTTTTACTACTTCTCTATATTTCAATATTAGCTTTGATTTGAATATCTTAGTGGCACATAAAAGGTCATCAAACTTAGTATCTCTTTTTATGTTAGAAATGTGTTTTACAGAATTGTGATGGAACATTTGGAAAAGGAAAATGGAGCTATTCTAAAAACCAACTTGGTTTCAAAAAACTTAAGACATTCTTTGGCTGTTACACTTCTTTTTTAAAACAGCAATAATTTATACATTTGTATTGCTTTGCTTTGAAAGTTTAACTACATTGCTTGTCTATTTTTAATTTACAATAAAGTAAATATTTTGTTATCTGCTTGCTTCCATGAGTGTTTTTAGAGTACTTTTTTTTTTAATATATAGGAGTTCTTGCCTGACTGATGTCAAGCAAACATTATCAATGCACAGTACAAACCCATTTGAACCCACCCAGAAGCACCTCAGAAGACAAACTTGGTGATCTGCTTCCAAAAGTAGGCAGTTCTACTCTGCACAAGTTCTACTCAGTAACAACAGTATTTTCAATGAGTAACAGCTCTAGAAACCCTAACACACAGCATGAACTGTCTTCTAAGCAAAGTGAAAAACCTAAAATAGGTGAATGGGACCTTCTACAAATAAAATCCAATAAGCACATCAAAAAAATTCAAAAGGTTAAGAAGGAAACCCACAGACGGGGAAAGACATATATAACAGTCA